CTCTTCCAATGCCTTTACAACGTATTTAACGACTGTACAAAGTGTGCCGATCGGTGAGAATAAAACTCCTAAATAATCCAGCACTCTCCTCAGTATCCGAGATTATTTTCGTAATGCTGTCTGGAATGTTTTAGATCTATTCATAGACTTTCCAGTTCTTCTAATCTTTTTGCAACACTCTTCGGAACTCTTCTAAGTGCTCCAATAATGATGGGTACAATTATCAACTTCACGTTCCACAATTTTTTCAGGTCTCATGCAAGGTCCATCTTTTCATTTTCCTTCAATTTAATTCTTTGGCCTGCTGGAAGAGCTCGTTCTTAGTGTTTTTCCCCACTGGAGATCAAGTGCCACTAATTCTCCTCACTACTCCAGCCTTCTCCTTGGTATTTTAGCTGATTTGAGGAATTCTTCGATTCTTTCTTGGATTTTCAATTCTTTCAATCTCTTTTTAGGGTTCTTCAAGGAATTATCAAGTGCTCTAGTTATTATGAGAACAACTGTCACCTTTCTGACATGGTGTCTATTTCCTTTCTGTGATAATTATTATTATTTGTTAATTATTCCCACCTACATATCCCAACAGTGATTTCATTTACCTGATACCCCCTCCTCCACTAAGACAGGATGTGACACAAGGTCTTTTTTTATGTCGAAAGCCATACGCGTGCATATGGACTAAGAAAAAAAATTGCCCAGTACCTGCAACTAATATCACGCTGGCGTCGATATTACACCAATTCCACCTCTCTTAATGTAATGAGGGAGGTGCTGCCGCAGAATTGGAATCCCCGAGAACAGGCACCTTCTCCTGTCTAAAATGAAAACAGATATCACGCTCTGATCCCGATCCGAAGGCCGAGAAGTGATTATGATTATTATTCTTGTACCGTCGTATCAGGTTGATGGGGAATCAAGTGTAATTAAATTCAGAAGTCACCACAAAGTGATGTGCGCGTTGGGTAACGGATATCGGTGCTGAACGCGAAATCGGCGAACCGACTTCAAATTGTATGTTAGTCAGTTGCGTTCACTCTCGCACACATGCCATTGAAAAAAAGGTACGAATTGTCCTCCAGCTATCGGTTAAATAACCAGAGTAGACCGGCTCTCTATCCTTCGGTGATAACCAGACTCGGAGAAAGCAACAGGAAACCACTCCACTATCTTTTGCAAGAATGCATATGTAGTAATGGTAATATTAACCGTTTCCTTATAAGGAAACATTTGGCGTTCATTGACTGAACAACCAGTGCTGCTGTCGGTTGAAAATTATAAAATCTTTCTATTAAAACAATTTTTCAGGAAAATAGCTTTCTCAAGTTCAGTAGCTGTTATCGCTCTTTATAGTATTGATGGGAGTTTCCTTCCTAACCATTTGTTTAAAGTTATGTGGAACATCAACATCATAGTTATGTCATTATTTTCTGTTCGTGTTACATGTACCATCCATTTTACTTGCTGCTGTTGTTGACAAGTGATGTGGGTTCTCTTATCCTGTACAGTTCTTTGTTTGTGATCCTGTAGCGCCATTCGACTAGTTTCGAAAAATTATTCTTACTAAAACATACAAGATTGATTCGCTGGAAACTATTTTTTTTATAGCTGAGAATTGATTGGTTCTATACAGTTTAGATATTTCTGAACGAGTTTGTGGTCATAAATGACATGTGTATGAAAGTCTTGACCTGACTAAGAACCTGAGTAAAAAAAATCGAATCTGTGGGGAGGCATGATCATTTATGTCCTAAAAGGCCATAGCATAGAATAAAATGAAATAAAATAAATAGAAAGTTTCGTAAAAATGACATATTTTCATTTAAAACCTAATGAGAAAAGGCTCAGAGAATCGAATGGCATAGATATGGATGGAAAAGTATATTTTGTTGAAAAAAGTCGTATTTTAATTACTGAATAGGACTGGCATTGTCAAGAAAAGAAAGACTGAATTCTAAAACAAATAGAAAGCAATGGGAAAGAACTCTATCTTTCCTAAGAAGTCATTGCAATTCAATGATAACACGTAAATAAAAGGTATCCATAGAAAGTTATGATCGCCTACATCCTAATTTTAGTCATACAGTTGTCTGAATGTTTTGGGAGATTTTTTGTTTTTTTTATAACGGTCTTCTGGACTGTAACAAGTATTTCAGTAATTTTTAACTTATTTTATACAATTCTATATTTCAAAACTTTTCCTACATGAACAAATTCAAGTGTCACTTTATATGAGACATTTCATCAGGATGTCAGCACTTTTTAAGTACACGGACTTTTGGGGGTTTCATATTTAGAGTTTACTTGAGACCATTATTATTAATATTTTTCAGTAGTAGTAGTAGCATTATTATTATTAGTAGTAGTAGTAGTATTAGTATTATCAGTAGTATTAGTATTGTCAGTAGTATTAGTATCATTATTAGTAGTAGTATTTGAGAGAGCAGCACACCAACAAAGTGACGATGAGGTACAAAGATACGAAGCCCAATATACCTGTCATAACACCCAACCTGATATGAGTATATCAGAGACATGTAGCACAGCCAAATGTGCACGTCATGCTGACAGGTTTTGCTAAAAGCAGTGCATACACTTGTAGTTGGTTGTAATTAGAATTAACTTCAGGTTGAGTAAACCATTCCGCTCAGACGGTCTCCGATCGAGGGTGTCCCCAACTATCTAGATGCCACTTCTAAGTCCACTTGGCTGACTCGTCCTTCAAACTAAAAAAAAACAACAATTTTGACCTCCACCCCCGGCTACGACGACCCCACCTACTACACCCGCTCCTCATCAGAGATATGTGGTGCGTCATCGCCTGGTTATGGCCAGACAACGGACAAGCAAATCTAGGGTACTGAACGAGATATCTACTATCGTCCATGTTAAAACCTCCGGCAAATTAAGATCAGAAGCCATGAGAGCCATAACATCAAAACATTTATTATTATTATTATTAATATTCGCTTCAAGCTCAACTTATTTAAGTCGGTTAATCTTAACATTTCAACCATCGTTGAGTTAATTCATGTCAAATTTTGTATGTGGCACTCAGTGAGGATTAAGCTCACTACTCAATAATAATGATCAACCAAACTGGCCTCATTAACCATCACCCAACACCGAGATGTTCAAAGTTAAGTCACTTCCTATTTGGTCGGTTGTTTTGGTTTAGCGGCGTATCAACTCCAATGGATTATTTAATTCTTTATTATTTAATATTTTATGGCTTCAACTACAGATATTTTGTCCATAATTTTATACTTTCAAGGCAAACGTATGTTTTATAGATATATAATTAGTAGATGATCTATTGTAGGTGTCATATATTTTGGTATAAATCGATTTCTTTAAGGTAGAACAATACGTTGACGGTTTTCTCGTGTTGTTTTCCTTGTAATATTTATGTCTTATAGGGGCTAAGTGAGCACATTCAGTTAAAATGTGTTTCACCGTGACTACAACTTGGTTTGGTTTGATTTGGTTTGGTTTGGTTGTTTGTGTTCCTGGGACCCCTAACAGGTGCTACTGGTCCGGACCTGGGAACAACAATTAAGAGGTGGTTTCAACGCTTTTCAAAATCTCCAATCTCAGGATCAGAGACCTTGCTGCCAGATGTAGTTTATCGTCATACCGAGGACGATCACTTACTTTTTATTTATAGAATTATTATTATATATTTGCAATTAAACAAAGGGAGACTCCCTTATAATTTGTCAAATTCTAACTTCATTTAAAATTTTAAAATTTGCTTGTTCAACTAATCCCTAGTGTTATGACAATCGCGGAGTGTTCTAATTTAAGTGTCAGAAGCTGAAAAGACCGAATGCGTGAAAGAGCAGAATGCAAGAATAATTGTCAAAATATATTTAAAGACGCATTTGTAAAAACATTGATTGATTGATTCGTTTTCTACGGCTTATCAACTCGTTGCAGGTTATTTAAAGCCAGAAAATATTTTTAGATTCTAAGAATTTATTTTGAGTGGGGAGATAATATTGATTTAGTAATACAAGTTTTACTAATTAACTTATAGCTGAGTAGAAGAGGTGGATTCATACGTTTCCCAAGGGTATTTGCCCGTAAGCGAATCCGACTGGAATTGGAACTCAGCCCTCCGATTAACAATTCTGAGACGTTATCTATTAGACCATACGCACATCCAAACTTACAGAATCTGGTATTCCTAAGCATTTACCCATCTAGGTATTGACCTGGCTCGACGTTGCTTAACAGAAACTGGTATTTCCACACTATTAGAAACAAAAAGTTTGGATGGAAATTCTTGCCAATACTAGAAAGAGCAATAGTTAGTGGACGGATAATTTGCTGGAGAAAAAGATTCTTCAAATTTACATTTACAGTAATGTTAAGAGTTCGGTCAGTGAATGTCGAATGTTTGCAGGGGTATTATCCCTAATTTAACAGAGTAAAACATTAATTGAATAGTAAACACCCACGTAGACTGCCTACACACACAGCAATCGCGCACACACACACACACACACAATGTTCTAGCCTGTCTATACTGACAATAAGATATAAAACAGACCAAATATTGTCTGGAAAGCAGTCTTAACAGTGGTATTTTTAAACCAGCCAGTTAGAAGTCACACACAGAGCTGCTCAATGAATCTAACACATGCTGCTCAATGAAAGAACTTTTACGCAATAAGTCACTTATAAACTCTACATGAAACAAATACAAACTTTCCACATTACACACACAAAAAGGAATTTTTCCCTTCCTTGTAATCTCTCTTAAATTGTTGTATAAAATATTGTTTATTATAAACCTTGTTCATAATTATTTGTTAGTTCTTGATGGAGTTCCAATACTCAAATTATTTATCGAAGTTTGATGAATCATTTCCGCATGTTTCCTGTATGGGAACGGCTAATTTCACCATGTCCATTATTAATAATTTCAATGTGTTTACTATTTTATGCACTGTCTGGCAGCGATATTTTTTGACAGTCACGTTTGATTTATTTACCAGAGAATTACGTGATGGGGAGTTCAAGTTCGGACAAGAATGGAGAAAAGAAAGATAAGGAATCAAAGAGCCCTGAAGACAGTGCAGAAAATGTCGAAGAGAAAAAAGACAAAGGTAGATTTGCAGTCTCGATAAATCATTCGGTTTGATTAGCCTGAGGGTCCGCGGATTGTTCATCTTGATTCGAAAGAAAATCCGCCTGATTTTCAATTATGATTCTGCCTACACAAAGAAAGAAAGAAAGAAAGAAAGAAAGAAAGAAAGAAAGAAAGAAAGAAAGAAAGAACGTGGCAATAGATAGTGATGGGGATGGAAACAATAAAAACAGGAAGAATGAAAAGAAGCGATAATAAAGAAAAAGAAAGAATGATTAAATAGAAAATGGAGAAAGAGAGAGAAAATGTGAAAGAGTGACTCAGAAAAAAAGAAAGAAAAACGAAATAAAGAAAAGGAGGGTAGGGATACAAAAGAAATATAAGAAAGAAAGAAAGAAAGAAAGAAAGAAAGAAAGAAAGAACGAGTTAAAAAGAAAAGGAGGAAGCATGTGAGTTCTGCAGTCATATTATCCCTCTAATGTTGTTTTGTGTCAAACTAAGCTGTGGGCGCCACCCATAAAGCTATGGTTAGCAGACTTATCTCGAAGAACATTTTGTTCTTATACTGAGTTTGATCTTGATAGAGTCGTATATATATATATATATATATATATATATATATATATATATATATATATATATATATATTTTAAGTCAAAAATTATCCGCACTTATAACACAGATATGCGGATAATTTTAAACTTTCCAGTATGTGTGTATATATATATATATATATATATATATATTTGACTGACACTCTTATATATATAAAACGGATAGAGAATGTTTGCTGATCCTGTAGTTGATTTTCTTCTTTATCACATATTGTTTGATGTGATATGGGCCCTTCTAGAGGGACGTGCCGAAATTTATATATTATGCTCTGAGGACTTTTGAACACACAATCATTTCAATCTCTGGACCTTCACCAGCATAAACGTTCCATTGGCTTTGGTTTTTTTTTCTTTCTTTCTCCTTTCTCAACCCCCACCCAAACCTCTCTCTCCCTTTTCTCAAATTGACCTAAGATTATCAAAAGTAATCGGGACATTACACACAATTTCGGCAAGTTCCTTGACAAATTTTCACCTCACATCAAGCGACTGATTCGACACTAGAAGAAACTCACCAAATGGCTTAACAAATATTCGCTGTCCGGTCTTTTTAATTGAAAAAGTTCATTTGAAATGTTCAAACGAAGTTTAAATTAGGTTGGGTTGGTAACTTTTACTCTGGTTGGTTTATCTAATGTCAAATTTCGTACGGGGCACCCTGTGAGGATCAAACCCACTACTCAGTAGTAATGGTCAACCGGACTAGCCTCGTTAACCATTACCCCTTGCCAAGAAACTAATTATTAAAGAGAAAATAAAAAGTTAGAGACTGTACACATGTAGTAGTTCGTGATGATAGTTATTTTATTATTATTTAATGTTAGTTTAGGTTGTCTGGTTGTACAATATATCAACCTTTGTTGGGTTATTTAATGTCGAATTTTGCACCCGGTGAGGATCGAGCTCACTAATAATCAGATAGGCTCGCCAACCATTACACCATACCGAGAGGTATCATTAAAAGAAGGATTCAAATTTATACAATAATTAAATTTGTTTCATAATTAGTTTTGACTATGTTTCTTCATCCCTTTTTTATCAGGATTTTTTAGGTCGAAATCCCTCCGACCCTTAAAGTAAACTGAACGAAATTCGAATAAAGCAGCAAACTAGGCTTGAAATCGAAGAACATGAGAAGTGAATGGGAGTTTTTTTTTTTTTTACAATTTCACTCCAAGCAAGGCAATAACGCCACTAAGACGCAATGGGGTTACTGAATGTTAGAGACTATGAGGAAAAAAATATTAAGGACAGAGAACCATAAAAGAACAAGAATTAACCAGACAGAAGATAGCAATTGACATTGAGCTTAAATCTTTGACTAGGAAGCAATAAGCCGGAAGAGAGATGCACATCAAATGTAAAATGATGAGACCTTGCCGCCAATCTAGTACTGGGCTTAAATTCCTAAAGTTATTTTCGTTATTTCGATTTCACGTTGTTTATATTTACGGGATTTCAAACAAAAATGATGTCTCTTAATCTGTCTTAAATTTCGTTTCTTTTTTTTAAAATTTTATTTTAGGATCGGTTGAGCATTTGAAAAATGACGAGAAAGTACCAATTACAAATTCGGTGCATACACGAGAAAAAGCACCAGAAGTCCGGAGAGATGAATCTGATAGCGACGGTCAAAGCGATACGAATTCTTCTAAAGAAAGCAGCAGTTCGTCATCGCCGTCGCCGTCGCCGCTGCCACCCACGTCTCGCAAAAAGTCAAAATTGAAACCAGAGATGAGATTCCGAGCCAATAATTACAAGAATGCGCCAGACAGTTCTAGTGAGTCAGATTCGATTGGTCACCTACCTGCAGAAATCGAAGGGACCGAAAAGGCAAAAAACTGGATTCCCGCCAGTCAACAAGAAACAATTTAAGTTGTACTTCAGGAAAGCTTAAATTAACAGGGTACCAAATTACTTAAATTAATAGGGTACCAAATTACTTAAATTAATAGGGTACTAAATTACTTAAGTTAACAGGGTATCAGGTTACTTAAATTAACAGGGTAATAGGGGGCCTGTTTTAACAAACAAAAAATGTGATTTGGAGAGTAATTTATTTCCAAATAAGACCGAGATGTTGTTTCATATAAAAACAGAATGTTTATAAAATAAAACAAGTCCTTAGATTATAAATGAATTCTTTCTTCAGTGTTGATAATTGAACACATAATGATAGTCTTTTCATAGTAGTTCTGATATTATACATCCTACAGGGAAAAAAATTAGGTATTTCTAGGCAAGGACGGTTTATTCTCCCAATATTTAGCTTACTTACCAAAAATGTCGGCATAAAAGTCCGTTGTATAAGTTTATTTAAAAAAAGAAAAAATCCCCAGTGACAACACTACATTCAGCAATCACTTAAAAAAAATGAAAATAAATCTTCCGAAACCGGAAAAAGAAAAAGTGTTTCATTGCAAAGAGAAAAATTTGTTTTAAATTGTTTCGTCATTTTTGCCTCTTATTTATCTATTTTAGATGAAAAAGATTCGGAAAAGTTCTCAACTCAAGCAAGAAACATTTCTAGAAAGAAAAAAGCAAACAGAAAACAATTCTGATATTTTGTCATTGGTTTCGATTTTGAAGAAGTAAGTCGGGCCGAGTGATTCTCAACCAGACATCGGACACAGATTACCGTCAAGCTTTTATTGGACGCACCCACGCGCTGGACGCACCTAGATTTTGGTATGGAATATTTAGGAAAACAAAATGCAACATAACAACCAAAGATATCAAAATGATAACCTTACCTTTATGTGACCTTCTCACTAACCATATAGAAACACTTACAGGATTAGCACAAATTATACTACTGGTACATTTTTTAATAGAAGTCAGGTAAAGTTTAATTACCAGAACATTTTTTGGAAAAGAAAAATTTTAGTACATATCATCATGCATTTATTGAAAATTGTTTTAGTTGTTTTCCAGGGAGCAACATCTGCACATAAAGTAAATTAATAATAGTTACAAATAAATCTACTGGTATCAGTGGTTATAGGCAAAAAACAGAAATATGGTCCTTATTGGTAAATGAAGTCCCATAACATACATGCAGAAAAGCAAATTCCAATACCTATATATCAACAAAAACACACACAAATCAAGCAGCAATATACGAATCAAATCAAATATTTCTGTAAAATCTGGGATTTCTACAAAATAAGGAACAAAAAATCGTGTATTTCCATAAATGTTTTATTTCTTTTTCCTGTGTGAATTTTTCAGGGATATTTTTATTGATATGTTTGTTCACTAACAGAGATCCTAGTTTCAGAGCTAAGCTCTATGCGTGCACTGATTCCTAATGAACACTGCATTTTTCGTGGTCTGCATGCCTCTCTCATACAAAATACTGCTGTATTGGATGCAGGGTAATTTTTCAGTGATTTTGGGGGAAAAAATCAGCGTCTGACCGGCAAATACTATACTTCATAGTTACTTCATGTAAACTTTTTCACGTTTTAGATGATTTACTCTACAGGCTTCTTATTGTCTGTTGCATGTCGAACCTGAGGAAGTAGGCTAAAGAGCACAGCATTCGAAACGTTGCGGTGATTAAAAAATAAAACAACCTACAAGACTATGAAATGATTCCGAGCTACGCAAAATATAGTCTGCAATCTTTGTTTAAAATTTCCACACTTGTGGCCGTTATCAAAAAAGGTGAAAAGTAATTCTATTTATTTCTTCAGTATGGCAAAGTATATGTTCAATATATAAATTTCGATTTCTTTTTTATCAAACAATATGGCTAATTCGCTCGTGTGCAGCGGATCGATCCTCACTGATCTTGTGCTCGACAAAGCAAGTGTTTAAGAAGACAGAATGTATAGCCGTCACCAAAAGAACAAAAAAAAAAAAAAAGGAAAAAAAGTACAATCCAAGATATCAGCTACGTATTGACAACGTTAAAATCAATCTGTCTGCGTAGTCAGGACCGGAAGTGTGATACGGAAATATGAAGACGCATAGGGATAGCAGTCCATGCCTTTCAGAAACTAAGCAAAGTATTAAGAGATAGAAAAATTCTTTAGAAACAAAGAAAAAAGCCCTAAATTGCTATATAATATCTAATCTCTTATATGGTAGTGAACACTGGACAATCGCTTCGTAAGAGCAAACTTGTAGTGATAGAGATTTGATTCTGGCAAGGAATATTGTGAATATCATGGACTGAAGACATAGCAATGAGGAGGTTTAATGAAAATATGAACCACAAAGACATTTGTACTTACAATCAGAGAGAGATAGTATATATAAACAGATAGAAATCGTGTATATAGATAGAGATCGTGCATATAGTTAGATAGAGATCATGCATATAGACGTAGCCGAGTTGTTAGAGCGTTCGCATTCTAACAATGAGACCCGGGATCGAATCTCACCATGAGACCTCCTGATGTTATCGGACTGGAGGAGTCGATCCCAACGTGCGGCACCTTTGGAAAGGGCCTGAAAACCATACCACGGGTTGACCCTTGGGTGCCGTCGATAGCTGTGCTAGCACGAAGTCACAAGTACTTCGTGGCCGAGGGCTTCAGCCTTGTTCAAATTATTGATCACGCTAGATAGCACGCTCTTACCCAGAAACTGTAACTGAGGTCTGCTCAGCATAGTTGCAGTTGCAGTATAAACTACAGGTGGGCTCTGTGGGTGTTGAATAAACACAAATGCGCCTGACCAAGCGTCTACAATAGGGATTGACTAACCGAATGTGAGTGGCCAGCTATATACTATGTATATAGACAGATAGATATTGTACATATAGTTAGATAGAGGTCGTGTATATAGATAGAGATTATGTATATAGATCGACTACATGCTTTTAAGTAAATCGAATCAAATATTTACTTTCAAGTCCATAGAATATTATTTTATGGGCGGGGGTCATGGTAGATTAATAGATAAGCGGCTCGGATTGAGTTCGAATTCCAGTCGAGTTCGTTACATTCACTTATGTGCAAATACTCTTGGGAAAGGTATGAATCCATTGCTCCCCCCAGCTATGGGTTGAATAGCAGGATAGACTGGGTTCTATAACCTTGGGTGGTAACCGCTCTAGAAAAATGACAACTCTGAATTCAAAACACCCAATTATGGTCTAAATAGCCTCATCAACCAGCAAATTGCCAAGTGTGGAGAGTACATCTAGACCAGGGGTAGGCAAACTTTTGCCAACTATGTGCCGACAGGGTTTTAAAATCAACAGCATACGTATTATTATCATATGTCAAGGTCAATATACCTGTTATATTAAAATTGAAACAGGTAAATATCTTTGCGTTGTAGTAGTTATTGGTTTAGGCTTCGTGATGTCATTTGCGGCTGCGTGCCGTTGGATGGCACGTCTGGCACGCGTGCCTTAGGTTGCCGACCCCCTAGTCTAGACCACTGCAGACATTGTCAGTTAGGGAGCGGTTCTTCCAATAGGAATGAGATGGCACAAGATGTAGATCCCGTGCTCTGGACAGAATAGGGGAAACATTGTTTTTTGAATAGCTTTCTTTTTTTAAAAAAAAGAAGAAAAGAGGAAGTTGGTGTACTTGTTTAATATCCGAACTATCAGGTCATCCCATAAGTTCTGTCCGAATTTTAATTTTTTGTTAAAATGAACGAAATTTAAAGATTATTTTATAATGTCTAATGGAGGTGAACATTATTTTTATGTTTAGATGCATTTAAACTGAGCAAATTTTATTTCAGAGAACAATAAAATTAAATTTTGTTTGATTAAAACCCTGCTAACATGGAAGTACCCAAGAATCATTTGATTTAACGTTCATGATTTCAGAGGTCACAGTCATATCCAGTAAATCCCATGGCTGAAAAATAACAGTGACTTATTCTTTATGTGCCGTGTCCACTCAGGACGTAGGCGATCATGGCCCTCTACAATTTCCTGTTCTTTGTAGCTCTAAATAAATTCTTTCTTTCTGTATTCTCACCTAAACCCTGTTCTGTCATCCATTTACTTGTCAAGTATATCATGCGTTGTTTTCCCCTTGCCTTCAATCTGTCATGTGAGTATCAGATTTTCCGAGCACTCCTTCCTCTGTCTCTTCCTGTTAAGTATAAGTTTGTTTTTTGTTTCCATTTTCGCTCTGTCAAAAAAAAAAAAAAAAAATCAGCTACTTCCACTTTAAGTTCTTGTGAGGGAGGCGAGTTGTTTGCAACGCTGTAGGATGAAAAACAAGAGCTATCAGAGGGCGGAAGAACTTTCGACGAGCCAACGGCCAGCTAACTATAGGTGGCGTCTCAATAAATCACCGTGGAGAAGGCAACGGGAAACCACTCCGCTATCAATCCAAAGATATATCACGACATTTTTCAAGCTAACATAGTATACACATTGCATTACTACTTTTCAATGTAATAGTCATCGAGATTAATGCCCTTCTGCTTTTGGTATACGAGCGCAGATAGACTATCCCAGAACGTGATGTCAAACGAGTTAAACCACCTTTACACCTCTGCACCAACAGCATCTTCGGTATGGAATCGCTTCCCGGGTAATTTAAGGGACTAGGGCTCTTCAACATGGTGCAATGGTTAGCAAGCTTGTCTCGTTAGATCAATTACAAGTGCGTAGTGAGTTCGATCTTCACTGGGTGCTCCATACTTTCAGCCTTGTGCCACATCTAAGCTACATTTAGTATATCGCTAAGGGACTCAACTAAATGATAATATGAAAGCATGAAGATAGCTTCCATTACCTTTTACAGCATCCATCGTCACGGACACCTCATGTTCAAATTTAAAGTTTAGCAGTCAGCGAAAACAATGGTAACAATGTTCTGGGATGCAGCAGTTGTCCTGCCCGCGATTTTTATTTAACGAATTCAAATACTAAGCAACGTCGAGCCCAGTCA